TAGGCATACGGAAATTTCTATAGACGAACAAGACAGCTCATGAAATTTTTAGTATTTTCTGTTCCATCCATTTGAGAATCTGTCCACCTTGTCCCCTGTCCAAGCCATCACATGAATAAATGCAAAGATAAATGGCTACATCACAGTGATATGAACATGACAAAGCTGAATGACTCTGCCAAACTAACAGAGCTGAATGTCACAAAAGTGTTCCAGCATGTCCAGAATGTGTCTTTTTCTTTTTTTTTTTTTTTTCTGAATGTCTCTAATACTAAGCTTTTGGAAAATGTTTTGTGTGAGAACCATCTCAGAAGAAGAGGTGAAATATATATACCGTGACTTTATTGACTAATTTTCAGGAGGTTTTGCTCATCACACTCCAGGTCTCTGTGGAGACATGCAAATAACTCAGAGGAGATAGCATACAGAAGACTGTGCAGTAAGCTAATGGGGATAAATGGTCATCTTTCAGAAGTGATAATGCATGTGTACTTAAACAAGTACCAAGTAACCACCTTTTCAAAAGTAAATCTCTGTTAAGCTCCTTGCCAATTACTATGTTTTAAAGCACATTTTTGGTGGGGACTATTGCAACAAGCACACCTAGATATGTCTTTTTATGGCTAAGCACGAATTGCAACTTTTCAAGTTTAGCACCCAAATGTATTCTCAAAAAAATATTATGAGGCTGTTACGCTGTTAGATTAGTTTCTTCAGATACTATGACCACAAAGTCTTTCTTATTTCCCTGCCTATCTGCATAGCTAGAACTCTTCATTGAATGCATTGCTACAGCAGGCTGGTTACAATCTATAGCAAGAATGTTACAGCCACAGCGCAATGTCCCTCACATATTTAATAAAGACTATAAAACCCATAAAAAATACAACAGGGTTCATGAATTCTATAAAAGTGATGTTATTTGGTAAGGGAAGAAACCCATAAGACTGATCTGATACGACATCATCTAGAAAGCCATACATTTAGTCTTTATCAAAATGATTTTCAGTCTAGGAGTCCCATTGGACATGTAGCAAATCTTAAACTTTTGACTATTAAAACCTGAGAATTTCTCACTCACGAGGAGGCTGAAGTCACACTCCCTGTGTATTGAACGGAAAGTTGTGATCCTTTACCCCTCTCAGTAACTGCAATGAACTACCTTCAATGTTTGTCTGCTTTTAGTTCCAGCAGCAAAAGGTTCTCTAAAGATATCATCATGTTTTAACTCAATTTACAATAAAACCTTTAAGAGCATACTGAAAAAGGAAACTCCCCGAAGACGTTTCTGATGGACGGAAAGAGTTTGATGCATTTTCTATTTCTAGGTATGGCAATGGAGAAGGGTTATCAATTTTTCCCGAGAATGACATGTAAGTTTGGTCCTGAAAGAGATGTAAAGAGGTGAACTATGGTGTTGGTAACTACTGCATGACAGGATGAATTGCACTGTCATTCTGACATAACCTTATGGCTCTGTAAACTTAGAACTAGCCTGAGTGGATGACAACACAGAATAAGTATGGGCATGTGTGATCAAGAACATCAGCTGTAACATGGATGGCAATTCTAAAGCTTTATTATATTCACAGCATACAGAACCTGACATCATCTTCCCTTGTTATATATCTACTTGCACCTAAAACTTGATCTGTGGCCTTTATAAAGTATAGTGAAAAATCATCCTGAACTCTCCTCCTTCCACTAACTAGAAAGTGTTACTGTTGCTTCTATTCCAGCTTGCAAAGACACAGGATCATTTCTCGCATATATGGTATATGTGTGTGTATAAACACAGATATACATGAGCTTTGAAATCTTAAATATAAGTAAAATCAGAACATATTTATCTTCCAAAATTTTAACAATTTTGTGTTTTGTTTTTTTTTTAAAGGCACTGGCCCCTAATGTAGTGTTATTGATCAGAACTGCTCAGAAGATAAAGCTCTGTAGGGACTCCATCACTTCCAGACAGAGCATTTTCCCCCTGTAAAGTGCTAAGTTGTTAATACAGAGTGTAACAGACCCTGAAAAATGCATCACAGAGCCTATGCACAGAAGGACGAAGATAAATTCTGCGAAACACCTAACAATAAAATATTCACAAGCAAACATATATTTGACATTGATTCTCAGGAATTAAGAGTGTAGTATAAACTGCGGTGCATTTCAGTTTAGTATCTTACAGTATGGGAAATTGTTTAAATGATTGAGGTGGTTATGAGACTGAGAGAAAGTACAATGCAGAAGCAGTTAGCAGGAACATATGGAGGGAGCAGACCAACAGTGGCAAATTATGCAGTGAATTCAGAGGAGCTAAGATCTTTGTTGCAGGCTACATGCAGAAAGAAAAATGTAATTCAGAAGAACCACTTTTTTTTTTCAATGCCACTGAACCAATCACTTCAGATGATTCAATGCCACCCCCTTGACATGTACATTCTTCTAGTTTTCCATGATGTCTTTAATAAAAAGTTGCATTAAATACTTAAAAAATAATTCCTATTATTAACCTAATCAGAAAACTTTCAGTATACTGAATCTTTTCAGCAGAACAGATTTTCTTGGATTGCTAGCAAATCAGACTTATTCTTTTTGAACATGCCTGCCAGCTTTATAACAAGCAAGAAAGAAAACTGGATCTCAGACTCTCACTGAAAGCCTCATAGTTTTAACTTCCTCCTTTCATCTAGAGCTCTTTACCTTTACTGACACCCTCTGGTCCCTATCTCTAAGTCAGGTTTGAATTCATTCCAGCACTCCTTCCAAAACTTACCTTCCAAATCGATAATTGCAGAGCACAGAACACTGGACATTTTCTGAAGCCCCCATAAATCGTATCACTGATTCCCCAATAGTTTACCATGTCAGCAACTTATTCAGGGGACTCAAGCAAATTTGCCAGTCATGACCTTCCTGTATTGAATCTGTGCTGACGATCCTCTAAGTTACTCATTTCTTAAAGTTGCCCTTTATTATTTCCTAACAGCAGAGTTTTTAATCACATCTTTTATCTTAGCTGCTAGGATATTTTTCCTCAAAATCTGTTTTCAAAGATTCTTTCTTTCAAGTTCTCAGCTATTAATTCAGCCAGACAGATTTTTGCTGTTTTCATTCTTAATACATCTGCCCTCATATAAAATGAAATTAAGATTCTTTCCCCTGACATTTTAACCTAGAATTCAAAGTATGACTTTCAGTTTCATATTGACCGACAAACCTAACATCTACTCTCTTAGTCTCCAACCCATCTGTAGCTATCTTCATGCTCTGCTAGTTCTGACTTTTTCATGGCCATCTGCCTTATAAGAGTAAGAAAAAGAAGTGTATGTTGAATACTCCACTTTCAAAACTATTTAGCTGTTACCACCTACAAGTATGCTTAACACTTCATCCTCCTTTCTTTGCATGTCTGTTGCCTTCCAATACCTTTTTTTCTTAACCACATCTCTTAATCACTCACATAGTTAAAAGTATATTGCCACAGAGGGCCACTGTACGTGAAATAATCCTCACTTACCATAGTTCATGTCTCAGTTTTCTCTCTTCCTTTAGTGTACCTCACTAGTAAACAAGTATCTTCCCACCCAACAAGACAGAAATATGAAGAGGTTTTTACTTGAAACTTTGCAGATAAATGCTAAAGTAATTAAAAACAATTTATGAAAATATATTTTTACAAATTCTGTTATTTTGATAGCACTTTAAAATAATGGCCCAATTATTGCTAATTCTTTTGATATCCACTGTAATAATATTAATCATCATGAACTGATCTTGCATTAGTATTGATTGCCATAAAGTACTTCTGAAGGAGTTCTACTATAACTCAACAGGAATTAATTGCACTTTTATTAATTGGAAAATGTCATCCATATTTTAATTATCAGGAATCCCCTTTAGCTTTTGGGTAACAGTGAGCTTGTAATTTATTTGTACTTTCAAACTTCAGGGTCTCATCCAAAGCTCACTAGGGGAATGCTGTAACTCCTTAGAAAAATTTGGGGTCAGGTTCCTCCATCAAAAAAACACTACTGAAAATGTGGCATTCATGGAAAGTATTACTTTTTAACGTAAAAAAAAAAAATCAAGCTTCGCAAAAACTTCAAATTTCTGAAATACTGCAACACAGAAAACTTTGGTGCTAAACAGTCACATTATACCACCTTGTATAAGTTCTGTTCTATGAAGTTCCTCAGTGTTCAACAAGAATGGAACTAAACAGCTGAAGGAGTACAAATAAAGTAACGGATGCAGATTTTTCTTTACTGAGATAGAGATTCTTAAAACCACAGTTTCATTATTTGTTTCAGAAAATAACTCAGTCCATCCTCTCACCAGCTCACAGGCATTCCACACAGTCTTATGCACTGTCCTCGCATCCGAGAGGGAAAATCATTGCATCTTTATGTAATTCTATCTCCTCTGCCTGTCAGCAGAGAACAGTCCATGCACCGTACTTCTCTAATTCAGAAGATAATTGTTTATCCCAAAGCCAAGTACCATTCTGAACTCCTTAACAACACAACTTTTAGTGCAGCACTATAAACTTATCACGCCAGGTTATTTTCTGTTTCCCCCTAAAGCACTGGCACGATAGCTCTCCCAAACATAAAAAATTAGCACATTAAAACAGGCATTCTTTCTCTGAAGTATGTATTTGTTCTAAAAGCCTCACATTTCTCCTCATAACTCATTCACTGCAGTAGTTTGCTAGCTAGTTAAATGACAAGAAGCATGCAGTACATCACAGTAATTTCTGCTTCAACTTTTCTGCTCAATTATGACAACAATTTCAGCGTAAGATTCAAAACAAAAAGCAAAACACATAAACCTGCAGTAGGAGCCCAAAAATGGGATCTCTCACCATTGCTGGCTTCGCAGCAGACTGCTCACAGAGATGCTGCGATGGATACTGCAAGAAATAAACCGCGCACACACACTCCAAAGTCTAACCAGGGAAATCAGCGCCTGGCTTGGGGAATGGCAAACACACTTACCGCTGCTGTGGCACCGGCTCTCTCTCGCCCTGACTCTCAGTCTCTCTCTCCCATTCTCCTGACAGCCTCAAATATAGCAGTCCCTTACGGTGCTGAGCCTGTGGGGAGCAGAGAATTGCAGAGTTGGGGTTTTTCGCTTGTTTTTTTTTCTCTTTTAACCATCCAGAGGTAGTTCTCCAGACCCGACCGCCTCTCCTCCTCTGCGCCTCGCCTCACTCACTGATGGAGAGCCCAGGTGAAGGCATCCGCGCCGACAGCCCCTCCCGGCCCCACAGTCCCCCCTCCCGCGGGGGGACCGAGGCACCTCCCCCGGCTGCTCCCGGGGGGCGGTGGAGGTTCTGCCCGCCCCTGGCTGGACGCGTGTGGATGGATGTGCGGCGTGTATGTGTATTTATGAGTGTGTCACCTCACACCCCCGCCCGCCCTAGGGCTCGCCCCTACCCCTAAGCGCACAAGCCCCCCCCACCCCTTCCCTTCTCCTCCTCCCTCTCCCCTTCCTCCTCCTCTTGCTCCTCGCAGCCTGCCTCACGGAATTTTTCCTCTTCTCCACTCTGCCCCGGAGCGTGAAAGCAAGAGGGCGAGTTGCCGAGAGCTCTCCTCTGATCTGCTACTCCTCCCTAACCCAAGCCACTAGCTTTTCCCAGAAGCCAGTTTCTGCCACATCCTGTCCTTCCCGCCCCCTTCCCTATCCTTCTTCCAGGTAGATTTTTAAAGATTATTTTTTTTCCTTTAAATGTATTTTATGCCCCTCCAGTGGTGATGACCCTCCCTACCCGGCGCCCTGCAGTCGGGGCCAGCGCCGGAGCCGCGGCTGCACCGCACCACACGGCCCCCGCGCGCGGCTGCTGTAACTCGGAAAACATCGGGGCAGCAAGCGCGGGGACGGCAGCTGCAACGCCCCGACGCCGGCAGCCCCTTCCCTTCTCTTCCCCATCACCCATCCGCGTCTAACCGCACACCGCTTCCACAGCTCACAGAGCGATCCAGCTCTGGCGGATCGCTCCTCGCTGATGCTCATACCCCGCCCCGCCTCCGCACCCCCCCAACCCTCCGAAACACCGCCCCTGCGGCCCCTGCGCGCCTGGCCCCGCGCGGCTGGCTCGGGCGCGGAGCCCTGGGCAACGCCGGTGGCGCCGCGCATTCAGATTCGCCTTTCTCGCGTTCTCGGCCCCCTTGTGCTCATTCACACATAGTGCGCGCTCCCGCGCTCTGTGGCTACCCTCGGGATTCGGAATGGTTTACACCCTTTTCTTTTCTTTTTTCTTTTCTTTTCTTTTCTTTTCTTTTCTTTTCTTTTCTTTTCTTTTCTTTTCTTTTCTTTTCTTTTCTTTTCTTTTCTTTTCTTTTCTTTTCTTTCTTTTCTTTTCTTTTTTCTTTTCCTTTTTTCTTTTTCTTTTCCTTTTCTTTTTTTCTCTTTTCTTTTCTTTTTTTCCTTTTTTTCTTTTCTTTTCTTTTTTCCTTTCTTTTTTCTTTTTTCTTTTCTTTCTTTTCTTTTTTTTCTCATTTCTTTTTTCCTTTTCTTTCTTTTTCTTTTCCTTTTCTTTTTTCTTTTCTCTTTTCTTTTTTCTCTTTTCTTTTTTCTTTTTTCTTTTTCTTTTCTCTTTTCTTTTTTCTTTTTATTTTTCCTTTTTTCTCTTTTCTTTTTTTTCTCTTTTTTTCTTTCTTCTTTGCCTTTTCTTTTTTTCTTTTCTCATTTTTTTCTTTCTTTTTTCTTTTTTTCTTTTCTTTTTCTTTTTCTTTTTTTTCTCTTTTTTCTGTTCTTTTTTCCTTTTTTCTTTCTTTTTTCTTTTTCCTTCCCTTTTTTCTTTTTTCTTTTTTCTTTTTATTTCTTTTTTTTTCTTCTCTTTTCTTGTCTTTTTTCTTTTTCTTTTCTTTTTCTTCCATTTAGTCTCTCCTCTCATCTGACCCCCTATCCCTCTCCTCTCCTCTCCTCTCCTCTCCTCTCCTCTCCTTTTTTGTATTGAAGCCTCTAGCAAGATAAGTTATCAGTGATGAGGGACACGGTTTTATAAGCTTTTGCAGTCTTGTACACTATATGGAAATCTGTCAGAGGATTTACAGCTCAACATCATGTTGAGTGAATTCTGCCTAGTAGTATCACTGAGAATGAGCTGACAAAAAAGCCCCCCACTTTCAATTCCTTTTCTCATTTTTCTAAGTTTGTAAATTTCTCTTCCTTCATCACTGTCTACCTCTGCCTTAACTAGTAAAAGTGTGAGAATGAACACATGGTTTGAAATGGACTTTGTCTGCACACACTATCCCATATGGACACAGGAGAAAATTGTCTGCACAACTGTGGATGTGCCTCTAGGTGTACTTCTGTTGGGCAAGTAATGTTGCATCTTGACATAGCAAAGTTTCTCTTCATTGACTCAATTTGCAGAAAATGATCATATGGTCATTATTTCCAGTGTTACTAGGTTACAAGACAGCATTTAATCAGAAGCCAGGAATAGTGACTGCATTAATTCTGATGTTATGAATAACTTATGAGGCTACATTTCTCAATATTTCCAAAATGAATGTTAAAGCCAGAAGCGTTTATGCTAGTAAAGGTATTTTTTTTGCATACTGCAATGATTTATGACAATAGTGAGGAATTACTTGTGAAGAGGTGACTTTCACTGCTTACTTGTTTTTACAGGTAGTGATGGAATTAGAAGAAATGCAGTTATAAAAACTTGACTTTACGGCTTTTATCTTCCCTTGTGAAGTTACAGATTAGGGTTATTTTTAAAGACTACTATAAGGCACAGATGCTATAGCCATTGGACTATATTATTTTTGCTTTTAGCTCACTTTTACTTAGAGTTCTTGTCAAGGTACACATTTATTTTGAATGGCAACTTTTGCTTCCTTCTTCATTATTTCACATCAGCAATAAGCCTACAATATATCTTTACCTTTTCCTTTAATATAATCAGGAGTGGAATGTATATTTGTCTGTATCAGCTTTATTTTTCTTTGACAGAGAAATGACATGCAGCTTTTTAAAATTTTATTTGTGTGTATCCTTTGCCAGGTCAGTTTCTGTTCTGGTTTTACTCCATCACTGTAAGATCATGAACTCTTTTATGGCATATATGTTCAATGCTTAAGGCATAGTCAGTGAATTATATTCACTCCTCTGTTATTTATCACTGCTATAGACTTGAAGTCAACCTAGCTGCATTTTGTGTATCTATCTGATCTAGTTGTCTAACCATTTTTGTATAAAGGCCTTAATCTCTCTATCTCAGTGTTCCCAGTGGGCAAGCAAACAGATGCAGCGCATCTGCAGTCTGAGTTGTTTCTGAGCTCTTCTCTTATTTGTTTTGTACATCTTTCGATTCACTCTCTCTTTTTCTTTTAAGCAGAGCATAATGTACTCTTTTTCTTTGCCACATGGAGAGCTATCTGAGCAATACCATTATTATTATTTAGATATTTCACTGTTCTTTCTTACGCAATTGCAGACTATAAATTAATGACAGGGAGTGAATTTTGAAGAAAATAATTGGCTGCACAAATTTCTCCCCCATGTCTGTGTCTGCAAGAGCACTAGGGTTGTAGCTCTAGAGTAGCATGAGAGCTTCTCTGTCTCTTCTCCTCCCCGGTTTTAATGAGAAGTTCCTTCAGGTACTGGAGGACAGTATTTCACAAATGCTAGTTTTTGAAAAGTATGCATTGGCCCTGTTCTAGTACATAACTGTATAATTTTAGTGGCAACCATTATGTTTTGTCCTCCCCTAGAACATCTGGGTAGACTCATTCAGCTCCTCATGGCTGCATAATTAGAGTTATAAGAAAATTTTGTAGGGGGAAAAGCAGAATTATGTGTAAATGTGACACATAATTCTTCAGCCTTCGGCAAGCAGCAGAAGATTCAAAGCCTAGCATGCAAGCTTTCAGTTATAGCATATAATTAACAAACTGGAGTCGCTAGCAATGGGAAGAAGTCGTTGCATAAAATAAATGAAAAAGACCAACCTCTGGGGACTTGAGCCTCCTAATTTTTCAGAAGTGCAGACGGATGACAGCTGGTCCAACATAAAGACTGGGAGAAAGATAACCTATTTGTAAAAGTTATGAAGCAGCAGAATAAAGCATGTTCTGTATCACAGCTTTATATCATGCCACAATGGTCTTTTTGATTCTGTAAGAGAAACCTGTAAACTGAATGTTTCACTGAACCATGGTCTAAGTAAGAGAGGGTGACAGAGCTAAACTGCAGTTAGCCAAGCACCTCAAGGATGGTGAGGCCATTCTGTTCCTTCAAAGACAACCCCAGTGTAAACTTCTGCTGCTGCCTGAAGAAAAAATAAGCTGTGAACTAAGTATCTGGATATATCTAGGTATAGGCAATATGTTACTACCAGAACAATATTCATCAAAGGGCAAACTAGCAATGAAGTGGTATTCAGTTATTAACAGAAGGGGAGAGGATGGGAGTTACCTTTTCTCTGCAGAAGACATAGCCACTGGAAGAGCCATAGGGAAGCAACAGATGTGAATATCTTAGCCTTATACCGAAACCATTTATATGCTTATTCTTCACTGTTACTGGCTTTGTAAGGAACTGGTCCAAAGGAAACCAGAGGAGCAGGTTCTTAAAAGCAAGTTTTCTGGCTACTGAGAGAAGGATAAACTGACCATCAGAGACGGTTTGTCCAACTTTTCTATGTGTGCTTCATGCGAGTTTAAGATAGTTTTGTAGTTTCAGAGGTAGAATAAAGACCAGAAGGGATTTGCAGATTCCTATTCTCTCCTGGCTTTCCCAACCTTGTGAGAGACATATACAGAACATCTGTTATGAGATACGATGCATTGCTTTCGATGCTATGTTACAACTGTACTAGTTAGTATGCTGGGAAAAGCAAAACCATAATTTTCCTCATTCCTTCCTGCTTGATCTTCACCATATGCACAGGAAGTATCTAGTATCCCCTGGAGACTGTTTTTTACCTTCTGCAAACATGGAGCAAGGTTTCTACTGCACATAGGAGCAAAATGCTCAGAGGGGTAGAGAGTGGAGAAAGATCTATTTACCACTGCAGCTATCCCATGGTGACATGAGCTGTTCAGATAGCAAACTAGTTTGGCGATATGGTGAGTCATAATTCTCAAAGTAGAGAAAAACTAAAAGGGAAATGAGAGGTTCTCTGAGCGCCACAGAATTTTTAGAAGAACAACCCATAATTATGCCTGAATGTTCCATCAGCAAAGAAAATGCGATAGTAACAAAGATAAATCCCACTATCCTCCAA